CGGGATCCTCCGGGATTTTCCTGAATCCTCCGGGATCCTCCCGGTCCGGTCCGGGATCGGTTCGGAACCTCTGGGATCGTCCCCGGGATGGTCCTGGCCCGGTTCGGATCCTCCGGGATTCTCCCGGCTCCTTCCCGGGCCGGTTCGGATCCTCCCGCATTTTCTGGGATCCTCCCCGGGCCGGTCCCGAATCCTCCGGGATCCTCCCGGGATCGTCCCCGGGGCCGGTTCCGATCCTCCCCGCACCCTCCCGGTCCGGTTCGGACCCTCCTGGCCCGGTTCGGATCCTCCGGGAACCTCCCGGACCCTCCGGGATCCTCCCCGGGGCCGCTCCTGCGTCCTCCCCGCCTCCTCCCGCATCCTCCGGGATCATCCCCGGGCCGGTGGCGCCTCCTCCCGCATTCTCCGGGATCCGCCGGGATGCTCCCGGTCTGGTTCGGATCCTCCCCGGGGCCGGTCCCGCATCCTCCGGGATCTTCTGGGATCCTCCGGGATTCGCTTCGCCCGGTTCGGATCCTCCCACATCGTCCGGGATCCTCCCCGGGGCCGCTCCCGCACTCTCCGGGATCCTCCGGGATCCACCGGGATCCTCCTGGATCGTCCTGTCCCGGTTCGGGTCCTCCCCGGATCCTCCCCGGGGCCGGTTCCGATCCTCCCCGCATCCTCCTCACCCGGTTCGGATCCTCCGGGATCCTCCCCGCACTCTCCTGGCCCGGTTCGGATCCTCCGGGATCTTCCCCGGGGCCGGTTTGGGTCCTCCCCGTATCCTCCCGCATCCCCCGGGATCCTCCGGGATCCTCCCGGTCCGGTTCGGATCTTTCCGGCCCCGTTCGGACACTCCCGTCCCCATTCGGATCTTCCCGACCCCGGTTCGGACCCTCTCGGCCCCGTTCGGACCCTCCCGGTGATCCCGTTCGGATCCTCCCGGCCTCGTTCGGACACTCCCGACCCCCTTCGGATCCTCTCGGCTCCGTTCGGACCCTCCCGACCACGGTTCGGATCTTCTCGGATCCGTTCGGATCCTCACGACCCCGTTCGGACACTCCCGACCTCGTTCGGATCCTCCCNTGTCTATCGAGAGTTCAGTGCCCGCCGGGGGAGCGGCGCCGCCTCCTGCGGGATCCTCCGGGATTTTCCTGAATCCTCCGGGATCCTCCCCGGGACCGGTTCGGATCCTCCGGGATCGTCCCCGGGATCGTCCTGGCCCGGTTCGGATCGTCCGGGATCCTCCGGGATCCTTCCCGGGCCGGTTCGGATCCTCCCGCATTTTCTGGGATCCTCCCCGGGCCGGTCCCGCATCCTCCGGGATCCTCCCGGGATCGTCCCCGGGGCCGGTTCCGATCCTCCCCGCACCTTCCCGGTTCGGTTCGGGTCCAACCCGGGCCGGTTCCGCACCCTCCCGGTCCGGTTCGGGTCCTCCGGGAACCTCCCGGACCTTCCGGGATCCTCCCCGGGGCCGCTCCCGCATCCTCCCCGCCTCCTCCCGCATCCTCCGGGATCATCCCCGGGCCGGTGGCGCCTCCTCCGGGATCGTCCTGGATCCTCCCCGGTCCATTTCGAGTCCTCCCCGCACCCTCCGGGATCCTCCGGGATCCTCCGGGATTCGCTTCTCCCAGTTCGGGTCCTCCCGGGATCCTCCCCGGGCCGGTTCCGATCCTTCCCGCATCGTCCTCGGCCCGGTTCGGATCCTCCGGGATCTTCCCCGGGGCCGGTCCTGCATCCTCCCCGCCTCCTCCCGGATCCTTCGGGATCTTCCCCGGGGCCGGTTTGGGTCCTCCCCGTATCCTCCCGCATCCTCCGGGAACCTCCCGACCCGGTTCGGACCCTCCCGACCCCATTCGGACCCTCCCGGCCTCGGTTCGGACCCTCCCAACCCCGGTTCGGATCCTCCCGGCTCCCTTCGAACCCTCTCGGCTCCATTCGGATCCTCCCGACCCCATTCGGATCATCCCGGCTCCGTTCGTACCCTCCCGACCCTCTTCGGATCCTCTCGGCTCCGATTCGTACCCTCCCGACCCCGGTTCGGACTCTTCCGACCCCATTCGCACTCTCCCGACCCCGGTTCGGACCCTCCCGGCTCCATTCGGACCCTCCCGACCCCGTTCGGATCTTCTCGGATCCGTTCGGACCCTCCCGACCCCGTTCGGATCTTCTCGGATCCGTTCGGACCCTCCCGACCCCATTCGGATCCTCTCGGCTCCATTCGGACCCTCCCGGTGACACCGAATTTGTCATTTGGCCCCGCCCCCTCCTGGCCCCGCCCCGCGATGTCACCAAACCCTGAGGGGACAAAGGACACGGGTGTGACCCCCCCCCCTTGTCACCCTCGGGCCACCCAAAATCCGCTCCTGGGTGACACGGGGTGACCGTCACCACCCCAGGGTGACCGCTGGAGTGTCCCCGTCACCCTCGGGCCACCCAAAACCACCAAAAACGCCTCAAAACCACCAAAAACCGCCTCAAAAACACCAAAAAACGCCAAAAATCGCCTCAAAACCACCAAAAATGCATCAAAATCACCCAAACCGCATCAAAACCACCCAAAACCGCCTCAAAAACCACCAAAAATGCTTCAAAAGCACCCAAAATGCCTCAAAACCACCAAAAAGGCCTGAAATCCACCAAAAAGGTCCCAAAACCACCAAAAATGCCTGAAAAGCACCAAAAAGGCCTCAAAACCACCAAAAAATTCTCCAAAATCACCAGAAATGCCTCAAAACCACCTAAAAGGCCTCAAATCCACCAAAACCACCTGAAAAGCACCAAAATTGCATCAAAACCACCCAAAATCACAAAAAAAAGGCCTCAAAACCACCAAAAATGCCTCAAAACCTCCAAAAAGGCCTCAAATCCACCAAAAATGCCTCAAAACCGCCAAAATTGCACCAAAACCACAGAAAAATTCCTCAAAACCACCAAAAACTCCTCAAATCCACCAAAATCGTCTCAAATCCACCAAAAAAATTCCTCAAAATCACCAAAAACGCCTCAAAAATCACCAAAAACGCCTCAAATCCGCCCAATTTGAGCTCTTCTTCCCGGTGTGGAAAAATTCCTTTATTTTGTGGGAA